ATCCTCCGAGGACATTCCTTCTTGCATTCTTTTGTAATCTCTGCGCCTGATGGCTCCTAATTGGAGTCGAGACATCCTTTGAGCAATTCTTGGATTGACTCTTCCTCTCGGGGAAAAGTCAGGATTTGAGTCACTTGAATGCCGCTTAGACTTTCTTTTATCAGCCACGTTGATGGTGACTTCAGGGAATTCATCATTTTGGACAGCTGCTCTTCTTTTACGGGTCGGGATTTGAGTCATTTGAATGCCGCTTAGACTTCCTTTTATCAGCCACGTTGATGGTGACTTCAGGGAATTCATCATCTTGGGCAGCTGATTTTCTTTTGCGGAAATGTCTCGGTTGATTTTTCGTGGGATGACTTCTCGTTTGAAACAGTCACATTCTGATAATGCTGCTTTAACGAGTCGCGCACAGGAACAATGAGAGTTTATTTCTCGAATAACTCTCTTTCGAAAATTATTCACAACCCCAACTTGATAATACGACTCATCGGTATGATTGCCAAAAAATCGTATCGTCTGTTGGCATGACCTCACAGGTATGACGATATCATTTGGTGAATGCGTCTTCTTCTGGGGGTGTAAAACCTTGTTGGCATTCTCAGGACAATTTATTTCTGTCTTTGAGCGATCCAATGTTATGTCGGGAGTCACACGTTTAGAACCACCCCCTTGTGGGTATGGAGTCTTAACGGGCTCCGAATGCTGATTTTGTATAAGTACAGACTTTTGAATCCAAACTTGGCGGAGTTTCGGTGGTTCTTTGGCCACCGTTTCCTTCTCCCTTTCTTGTCTTTGTTGTAGGAGAGCTCGGGCATGAGCAGCGTTTGCACGACGTTTTTGTATACGTTCTTTGAGGGTCGAACGAGTCTTTTTGACAATAGTCCATTCCTCCATCGTGAGTTTAGCAGAGACATGAGTGATTGGTCGTTGAGACAACTGAACCACTCGATGCCTCCTCGACTCTAAGTCCGCATGATAACGAACTCCGTCGCTTTGTTCCAAGGCCTTAGCTATTTGACAAGCGCGGCGTTGGCGTTGTCTTTGACGAGCTCTTTTCGTCAATGCCGGTGGGCTTTGATTTAATGACTCTTTACTTGGCGAAGAGCCATTATGAGCAGAGAGGTTGTGAGTAGAATCCTCAGCAACAATCAGGCGAGAGTCTTCATTCTGTGCCTTCTTTGGCATGTAAGTCTTCCTCAATTGTGAGATCCTCTTATACTTGCGAGACAATGAAGATCTTGAAGAGGATGATGAGAGATATTCCTCAAACTTGGTTTGGTCGAATTCGTATTCGACCATGGATTCAACCGGGATCTTGATGATTGGCTGCGACACGACGGTCTCGGCAGCGAGACCGTTGGCTCCCACTGTGGTCGCCAGTTTATTTGCGTCAAAAGTTAGTTTTGTCATGGAATTCATTATATCTTCGGTCGATTACAACAAATTCAAAAGAAATAGCCTTTTTATAAGACTTCTTTTACACAACAAAAGGAAAATTACAACTCTTGAGAAACAAACGCAGGATCGTTGTTTGGATCGCTGCTTGCGTGGGATCTTTGCCTGTGCCGGGAGCGCTTTGACTCGTGGACCACCAAATCACAGATTCTGATTGAACCGTGAGGGGTTTAATGATTCTTCCTTCGTTTATCGAAGTAAGAATTTGAAGCGAATATCTTATCGATGTAAGATGTTCACTCTTCTAAAGATCAAGTCAGAGCTTAGATCTCTAGGAATCGCCAGAAACTTCTTGAGGATGTTTGTGAAGAAGGAAGACTCTCTCTCTTGCTTGGCGCGGCAGTGTAAGCTGCCGCGGCCGAAGAGGCAGGTATCAGCACGTTTGATCGTGCTTAAAACCGCTCTCCCACGACTTTTAACCACCTTTTTTCGTGGTTTAACTGCTTGTACACGTCAGCACACGTTCTGTTTCTGGTATGCTGCCACGTGGGCCTCAAAAATCATCATATAACTGTTTCGTAACTGCTGCAACACTCCTTTAACATAGCCGCGGCACCCTAGATTGCAGCGCCCAAGCCGCGACACGACAAGCTGTCGCGCTTAAGCCGCGGCACTATATGCTGTCGCGCCTTAGCCGCGACACCATGAGTTGCCGCGCCACCTTGTGTTGCCTGATGACGAATAAATTGTTCTCGCATGTTGTTTTGAATGGTATTTGGATGTCTACAAGTATTTTTTGACGCCTACAATGTGGCCAACGAACAAAGGAAAATTCTCCAAGGACCTAAAATATGGGACCAATAGAGGGGACAAGTGAGGTGTCCTCTTCCTATTGGATAATGAGTTGGCCATCATTAATGATGACCAACTCATTATCCAATAGGAAGGGGACACATCACTTGTCCCCTCTATTAGTCCCATATTTTGGGTCCCTGTAGCAAAGCTCGTGAACAAATCAAATAGTAGGCTACTAGATTCCAGCCTAAAAACTTGAGTAATGAGAGACGAACCTGAGCCCTAGTAGTAGACTAATAAAGATTGATATACATTAATTAGATGCTGGCCGCAATCTCGACCACTCGGAATCAGGAGAAATCTTCAATCGTGCGTCGCTGTCTTCTATTTCTGTGTCTCCTACTTATTATTCCGAAACGTCCCTTTCCCAGCCTAAAGGCGAAATTTGAGGGGGGCGGGGTGCAAAATAGACTTGGCTGTTCATAGCATCCCCTCCTCGCAAAGCAAGGTATCAGGTTTAAAGAGAGAGAATATTATGCACATCAGTCCCTAAAGTATTCTTAATGTTCTGCTTCGAAGGCGTTGCTTCCTTTCGTCGCCTGCGCGCATTTTTTTCTCTCCAAATAACTAGTTGAGACGCATGTGCAATGCACGTGGTTGAATACGATGATTGTTTAAATTGATAAAAATTGAATAAAAATAAAAAAGAAAATAAAGTTTTTTGTGGGATTGATAATCAACTCAATAATCCCTTTCTCTCTCTCTCTCTCTCTCGAATGAAATATTGTCATTGTTTCCTTCATCTCAGACTGTGACCACATAATCTACTATTTGTGAGTTATAAACACATCGATCTAGTACAACATCCTCGTTTATTAGTGCCTTAAAGTCTTCAAAAGATGGGTGATCATTCAATTCGCAAATGAATTTTGCATATGAATTTGCTTGTAATATGTCCATTAACCTTTTAGTTATAGTTCAGCTCATATTCACATTAACTTTTAGTTGTGATTTCACTCATATTTATATAATCTAATATTCTCATTCAATTTTATATCTCATTCTCCTTATCATAGAAGTAAAATTAAAAGTATAAAAAAATATTTTCTTACTAAATTAAAGCAGAGAGATTATGATATATTTCGCCATGTGCTTTAAATATAAATTTTTTCTTTGATGCAATATCTTCATCAAATCTTGTCCCAAACGATGTGAATAAAAAATACTATTATAAGTCACTTGCGCGTCAAGAGCAATTGTGTTATATATAGGATATATAACTTATCTGGAATATCCACATCTGCTAAATGGATTTTGCCCTTGTAAGAGCAAAATGTTAGAGGCTCGTGTTCAAACTTTTTGACTCTATAAAAGACACAAGAATTTAAAGTGCATAACTTATATATCATAAAGAACATACTGGTTCATGAAGAATTTTTCCTAATAATGATATTATTACAATAATATTACTATTTAGTATTAAATCAATTTTATTATATAAGATTATATGACCATTTTTAATAAATTATAAAGTATATATATGGAAACATTGATGCTTATAGCCAATAGTTAGGCTCCACAAAATATGTTAACTTTATATTATAGTTTGCTATTAGTAATATTGTTGACAATACCATTACCTTTCTTTTTTACTTATTATTCACGCTTTTCTGATGTAAGTTCTCTTTTGATAATCACTCAATTGGTTATATTTAGTTTTTATAATATCAGAGGTTAGAATATTCTCATTCGTTTAAAAAATGTTAACATAATTTTAAAAAAAAAATATACACATAGTAGCAATAATATATACATCAGTTCAACTCAAACATTAGTTTAAAGCCATTTAGAAGTGGTTGTTGACTTGTAACATCTTCTTTAATTTTAAGAGTTCTTGACATATAACTCTATTAAATTTTTACGCCATATACGGAGATTTTGAGGGCATGCGTGAAAAAAACACTTTCACCAAAAGTTCGGCGGAGAGGGAGAGAGACGACAACGTACAGAAAAAAGACTCCCATCTTTCCCACGGAAAAAAGGAGCACGTGTCTCCTTCCCCCCGGTAAAACCCATTACCATTTACCGGCCGTACAAAACGACTTCAGGTAATAAACCCAGGCCTCGACACACTCAACAGCTCAACTCTCCAGCAGCACACTTCACTCCTCTTTTATATACAAAAATCAAATCAACCTCACTCTCTCTCTACAGATCTCTCCCCCCCTTCTCGATCCCTCCACTCTCTTATCGGATCGGATCCAGATCTTGTCGGATCCGATCACCATGCTCACCTGCATCGCCTGCTCCAAGCCCTCTCCGCAACGCGGGCCGCTCCCTCCTCCGACCCGGGACGACGACGAAGACCTCGACACCCGCCGCCACCAAACACTCGCCAAGCTCTCAAAACCCTAACCTCTCAGGTACTTAATTTCCCCCCCCTCAGATGGCGTAAAAAGGTCTCCTTCTCATTGTAATTGTTCGATTTTGGCAGATCAAGGACATGGCGCTTAAAGCTTCGGGAGCTTACCGCCATTGCAGCAAGCCTTGTAACGGATCCTCGAAGGATCCGCAGCATTCGAGGTTCGTGGATTCGGATTCGGACCGGTTTCAGTATTCGTATAAGAGAGCGGGGGATCATCAGAGCTTGAGCTCGACGCCGAGGTTTGTGATGCGAGGGTTTTCGCAGCTGGTTGACGCGGACTCGAACTCTGAGGAGGCGACGTGGGGACGTGCGGCGGAGGAGGCGGCGGAGGAGGCGAAGGAGTGGGTGCGCAGGTGGAGCCTGTGGGTTCTGATCCACCCCATTCGTATCGCGTGGGCGAGGCGGCAGTGATCTCAAAAAGGGATCAGGTTCAGGTACTACGATTTGTGTTTTGTTCGGCCGCGTCCAGGTTACTGGGCGGTGACGCGACCGCAGTCCGTTGGAAAGAGGCCAAGATATCGGGAACTGCTTGTTTTTATTTTTTAAAGACAGGAAAAAAGAAGAAATTTGGTCGTGTAGGAAAGCAGTTCAACGCGTAAAATTTTTTTTTTAGGTTAAAGGGTGGGCGGGGGGGGGGCGGGGGGGGGTTAGTGTTAAGATAAAACAACTGTGCAAGTTGGGGTTCTTTTTTATTGATTCGAAGCTTTAGTTGGAAGTTAATGAATGCGCTGCAACTTGGCTGAGGGCACAGATCTTGATAAAACCTCTTACTTTACTTTTTAAAAGAAAGTTGGGTTTTCAATTTTGATTCAGATTTATTTACCATGGTCCACATTTACTGAAATCTGCTATAAATCGAACAACTAAAGCTTTCCTTGTACCTTGTTAATTGATTAATGAGGAGGGGACCGATGGGACCGCGGAGCTTAAATATGCATCCGTTGAGCTGGCTACTGAATTACTCTGTGGGCGAGTTCTTTTTTATGCTTGAGAACTCTCCAATTTGGATCTTTTTCTTGATTCAATGAAACTTTGCTGGTTAAGATTTTTAAGAATGAATTTCAGGAGTTTTTTTTACATTTAGGATTACTTCCTAAGCCAGAAAAATATTAGGACTTCCATGTTTTTATTGAACAGTTCAGCCTATATCACAGTTGATGATGCTAGTTGATTAATAGTTTAGAAATACTGAGCATAAGCCTTAATGTTAGGCAATGACTTGAAACTGATATACTCTTCTGAAGGGCAAAAGCTTTGAATCTTCAAAGGTTTTGCAGACTCGTAACCCATGTTCATGCCTGTGAAGTTTCCCAATTGACTAAAAGCTTTTAGTTATTGACTAGAATCTTCATCCACAAAACATATGCTTAAAAGGTTGTTGTGATCCAAGTTTCTTCTGGTTCTTTATATATAAGAGCCTCTGGAGAAGTAATAACGGATTATGCAGGTACCACTATGTTAACCAAAGAGTAATATCTTGCATGTCATAGATTAGGAGTTAATTTTTTTTAAATATATTATCTTACTGTGTTAATATACACATAAATATATCAGCTTATACTTTTCTCTTTATAAGCATATTAATATATAATTTTTTTTACAGTTCACAACAATGGACATATAGTTTTGCTTTTTGTATGCTTAATAGCATGACAACTACCAGACAAAAAGTTAGAAAATAATTACTCCATCAAATGCAAAGTATCTATAGATGTATATTCCAATATGTGGTAGCTATATATAATATATATATATATATATAATATATAATAATATATATATATATTATATTATATATATATATATATATATATATATATATATTATATATATATATATATATTAGGAAAAGTGATTCTAAGGTACACCTAGATTCCCACCTAAGACGCAGTCTAAAATCACATCATTCCCTAATTGTTTTTTCCGATCCGCTCCATTGCATTTGATCTACACGTTCTTAAACCAAACACACTAATTTTGGGTGAACCCTCGTGTTTTGACCCTTCGTTGAGCCGTGCAAAAAGTTCTATTCATTCGAAACCGTTAAAATTGCGGCGAGTGGATGATATGGTCAAAACACCGGGCTCACCCCAAAATTGATGTGTTTAGGTTTAAGAACGTGTAGATCAAGTTTAACGGAGCGGATCGAAAAAAAACAATTAGGGAATGATGTGATTTTAGACCGTCCTTAGGTGGGAATCTAAGGTGTCACCTTAGAATCACTTTTTCCATATATATATATATATAATATATATATATATATATATATATAATATATATATAATATATATATATATTTATAGTATTATATATATAGAGAGAGAGAGAGAGAGAGAGAGAGAGAGAGAAGATGGATAACCTTGGCCTACCAAGGACTAAAAAAGGCTCATTCTCATCCATACAGTCAAACAGGGGCTACATACACATGGGTTGGAGAGAACTATTTTCAAGTGAGGACAACTAAGATGAGCGGTTAAACTTTGGCCACATCATTACCAAGTATATTTGAACTACTTGATATGAAGTTCTTCCATTTTTCTTGTCGTATGTATGCATGCATGCATGCATTGATGTATGTATGGAAACTAAGAATGTGGCCTTGATTTCAATCGTTCCACCCAAACACACACTCGAGGGTGTGATGCAAAATAAGAGCGTTAGAAATTAGCATTCTTAATTTTTTTCTTCGGTAAACAACATTTCAACATAACCAGCTTTTGTCTAGAAAAACGAAGTTCAATTAAGTCCTGAACCTGTCAAAGTTTCAACAGAAAACTAATCCCTTGTTTTGTGTGTTTATGTTTGCATTTGTTTTATTAACAGCCGTGAGATGTTCAACAAATGGCAAGCCCAGAGGTGGTGGGCTGAGAATTATGACAAGGTTATGGAGCTCTACAACGTTCAGAGATTTAACCGCCAGGCTGTTCCCCTCCCAACTCCCCCCAGATCAGAAGATGAGGTAAACCAATAATATGCAACGTAAAAAACTTAATTTCGAGCTAGCAGCTTAGTTGTTTCTTGATTTCAATTCTTTGTGGAGTATTATGTAGAAGAAAGATAATTTTGAAGAACGAACATCTTATGTTGATCAAGAATATGAATTTTTGGTAGGTACATTGTAGTACTGTGGAAGAACAATTACAATCAATCGTGACCTATTCATAGCTACCACATTTCAGACATGCATAATACCTACAAGATAACAAATAATGACTCCAATTATGTCTTTGTTGGTTTCTTGGTATAGCCCAAAATTGAGTTGTCATAGACGACTCATATATGATCCTTCCCAAATCTGGTTTCCTTCCTTGACACTTTGATCCAAAGGCTCAATTTATTTCTATCTCCTATCAGAGTTCAAAGATCGAGTCAGCAGAGGACAGCCCGGTGACACCTCCACTGAGCAAAGAGAGGCTCCCTCGCAACTTCCACAGACCGGTGACAAGCAAGGGTACGGTATACTCATCTTCCGAGTCTATGGATCATCACCCAGCCACCCGAGTCAAGAACGGGCACAATGGCCGACAATACTATGACTCGGGATGTCTGGCATCAACACCGAAGCTTTCAAGCATTAGTGGAGCAAAAACAGAGACATCGTCAGTCGATGCAGCGTCAATAAGGACAAGCTCAGAGGCAGATGCAGACAGATCTGGTGAACTATCGGTTTCAGCGGTGAGCAACGCAAGTGATCAGGAGACAGAGTGGGTGGAGCAGGATGAGCCTGGTGTTTATATTACTATCCGAGCATTGCCTGGTGGTATCAGGGAGCTTCGTCGTGTCCGCTTCAGGTCTGTCCTTAAAATTTGAAATTTTTTTGTTGTAGTTAATTTTCAATTCGTTGAAGCTGAATCTTTTACTTGCATTCTCTACTTAGAGGATTGAGTTGCCATGTGCCCGACCTTAAATTTTTACCAGTCTGTGCATGTGTGGCCCTCATCCCATATCTCTAGTTAAGTTTTCCCTGTTAGAACCGTTTTGTTTCTATCATGTCAAATGCGAGTGATGATTATAGGAGGTTTCATCTGAAGATCGTGCAAATATTAGAAGTTCAGAGTTCCTGTTCGACTTCATGGGATTGGGATTTTTGAACTATTGGAATTAATAACAATTTATCTGCGAGTAAAGTCCCCACACTAGAAAGAATTAGAAAGAGTAATGGGTTTAAGTAAGCGCTAGCTAGAATCAATGATTAACGACTTGAAAGGTTTTAGTTAATTTGGGTCTTAACCTACGTTTAAGGTCCATCTTAAATCTTTGAGGTGCAAGTTCTTTGTAACATCAACATAGAAATATGGAATTGTGCTGCAAAATAGTCTCTTCACATGGGTATGCAGATAGATTTAAAAAAAATAATAACTTCATCGTAGTCAACAATCTAAATTAATACTGGACCATGATCTTGTTTATCTTGCTGCTCTTACTTGTAATCTGTGCAAGTGACCAATCTTGACAAACCATCTATCAAGTAATATAATTAACAATTGCATCTCATTGCACAAATAAAAATATATTTAGGTTTTGTTGCACTGATCAAAGTTAATGATTTGTGTTTTATGCAGCCGAGAGAGGTTTGGGGAGATGCATGCTAGGTTATGGTGGGAAGAAAACCGAGCAAGGATACATGAACAATATCTCTAAGAACGGATACCATGAAAACCAAACATTGCAAATATGCAGCGGTTGTCTCCTCTCACGGGTATAATTTGCTTCCAACCCAAAACTGCAGCTTTTCCCAAAACTGCAGCTTTTCCCTGATGCTTTTTGAGTACATATTTATACATTTCGTCGGCAACAACTAACTGGGGGTTCTAAGGATGAATTTCGTTATGTATTCCTATTAATTTTAGGATTTTGGTCGTTTTCCAATTTAAATTGGTTGTTTGTTTGTTGACATGTATGAGATGCTGGTAAGAAACTATTTCTAGGGAAATATTGATGTTCTAGTGAGGGCTATTGATGTAGATGTTTGCAGTGCTAAAAGAGACGTGTTTATATTCACTATAGACCAGATGTCAGTATGTCACCTTTAATTTTTGTAATTTTATAGTGAGTTAATTATTTGTTTTCATAATTAAGATTTCATGTACGAGGAAGAATTTACAAATCTGAGTAACATTTAAAGTATGTTGAAGCAGATCATGTCGTAGTTTACCACCGAAAATGACACGATATTTATGCATAGGGGTAACTCGTGTCTGTGATAATGCATGGGTTATGCAAACAGACTGAAGCACTTTAATTATGGATGCAAGATGTGTGATCTCCAATATCTGTGTGGTCATAACTTATGAGAATGCATGGGCTATGGAAGAATGGTGTGTTATCCGTTTAGTGGTAACTTATTAATTTCGTCTACTTCCTATATATGCTAAGTATTATATATACTAGTTCCGCGTGTACTCTTCTTTTGTTATAAAGAGTAGATTTGTTATATCCTAAATATGTGTAGACCATGGGCTCACTATCTCATCTTCAACAATCTCATCTTCGACAAAGACCTGTTCAAAACAACGGCGTACGCTGCCCCAAATCTTCTTGATTTTATAACACTGCTTCAAATCTTCTATTTTGACTATGATTGTAGGGATGTATTTTATCAAAATCACATAAGCCCATTAGGTTGCATGTCGAAAGTACAATCCTTGGGCTAGGTTTCAGTTTGATGTTCATCGTTGGCAATGGTGTCCTTCAAAGGAAATAACTGATTGATAAAAGGATGCCGCATGCCTGAGGTATTAAACAAGTTAGAAAGGATATCGTACAAAATTATTATTTTTTAATATCATACAGAAAATTAATCCTTTTTTACCGTTAAACGATGCTAGTGCTGATATCCAAGTCAAGAGGCGATATGTTACATAACGTTAGATCAACAGTGCAGAGATTATCACCACTTCAGGAAAACATAGCATAAGATCATCACAAGGGATCAACAACAAGTAACCCATCTTTGAATGCAAAATTATTACAATAACCAAAGAATACCCACAAGTGAGCAAGGCCTTGACGTTTCCAACACCGTCATCCATTTAAAAGCGTTCCTTCAACATCTCCTTACTTCACACGGGGATATTTGTCAGGAAATTTTGTGAGTCTCAGGAATCATTTCTACAAGTTCACATCTCCAAATGGCAAAATTTGTCTACAGCGGCAGAAGATGCAGTTTTTGATGCGCGCTGATTGTCAATAATCATCAGCATCTGAAAGAAAAGGAAAATTATGTTTGCTACCTGTAAGAGTAACCAAAGAAGTACTCAATCGACGAAAAATCCAAAGCTACTACTGTTAGCAAGTTGGAAACATGCAGCAAACTGGAACAGCTAATATCCCCAATTCGCTATCTAAACTTCAAGCATTAGAATTAAGCTTCTTTGAACTGTACCCTATTTCATTCAAAATGATAGATGGCTGCAATCTAACTGATTCGATATGTGACTCCAATGAAAAAAAAAAAATAGAAATAGAAATTTATAGTCAATGTCACAGGGCAAAATTTTCCAGTTAATTAGGTCACTTGATATCGAGTTGGTTTGTATCATTAGTAAGGCACTCTCAGTTATGTAGTATATTTTTTCTACTGGAACTTCGTAAAGGTCCCCAGGCAGAACTTGAAAGTTCTACTAATCATCTTTCTGCTCCAGACCAAAATTACCATCATTGACTTTAAAACCTTATGCAATGAAATATTACCGCAATTGACATCATACTCCGAGACATATCTAGCCAAGAATATCTGGATACTTCTCCAGTACCGATCTCCACCAGAAAGCCAAGTGTCCATATGCATGCCACTGGGAAAATCAACAAATATGCACTTGCTGTTTGTCTCAATAGCCTTTGCATGAAGCATTCGCATGTGGGAAGGTGGAACCATCTCATCTTGTAAACCAGACAGGAATAGAATTGGCTGTTTGATCTGCAATAATGAATTTCAACTATAGAAATTACTGAGATGCACACTTCTACAAAACAATAAAGGGTAATAAATTTCACCAAACTACCATGAACGGGAGTTTTTGTATAAAAGTACAAGGACCTATTGAAACTTGTTGCTGGAGGCATCAATGGCTAAGGTGTAATTGAAAATTCAAGGGGAGAGGATAAGTGACAAGATGCACATAAAGTACATAAGGGCAAAATTATGTAAAACATATAATGTGACACGATAAACTGTCATGAGGCGTGATGGTTCACTGAAAAATATTAATGGTAGTTTTCTCTAATAAACAAAGCTGATGATAGTTTTCTGCAAAATTCTCCAAAATTCATGGTAGGTTTTTGAAATTTACCCAAACAATAAAATACCAAAATATACAAGTAAAACTAAGGTTACCTCCAAGAAAAATTAGTTAGAAAAGAATTACAGAACGACTGATCTAATTTGAGACTTCACACTACTATATAAGAATGATGATCTATGTTACCTGGGTACTTCTATTAAGAAGCTATATCCATACCCAACGCGTACCCATACTCAAACCTCTTGACCTTCTTGAATATATGCATATGTTTGTTCAGGCCTATACTCATTTATATAATACATGTTTTAATTAAAACATTCATGCCCTTTGGATGTATATTCTACACTTCACATCTATTTCTTATATATTGATCTTATGTAAATGAAAAAACAATATGATATTATGTAAATTATTAATTTCAATACAAATATGTAAACATAACATGCATATATATAGTCGTGTCCCCAAACCCTACCTTTTACAAATTTGCCGTGTCTCGTAATAGTACCTGTACCAGTGCCCGTACCAGTGCCCGTACCCATACTCATGCAACCCAGATGATAATCTATAAAATGTGCAAAAACTAAATATTAGGTTTTTTAAAAAAATGTTTCTCCGCAATGTAGATGCACATAAATGAAATCAAATTTGCAGATTCATTAGATCAACAATGTGCCTTTCAAATTGAAAAGATAAATATAGATAACGCACTAGTTGCCACAGTAACAAATCAATCTTGTACTGATAGTGTTTGACTTTGTAACAACTTGGTAAATTGGTGAAAACCTGGAAAAAATGAGATCACATTCCTAGCCATATTCTGATAAAGGTTTTAAATATCGGATATCAGGAAAATATCGGATGGTCAAAATTCATATCGGATTGCAGATATCGGGGAAATATTGTGGAAATATTGGGGAAATATCGGGGATAAGTGGTAAATATCAGAATGCCATAACGGATGTTTGCATATATAGTATAATGCACTAAAATATAATCTCAACATACTTAATAAAATCAGGGAAAACAAAATATAAATAATGTATGTTTAGGATCACTAGTCAACCTTGAAAAACAATCGAAAGTACAAATCAAAAGTACATTTTGTTCTGATTTTTTAAGGCCAAAATGTTATTTGATATGATAGAAAAATCATAATATCTTGCCCAAAAATTGCCAAACGCGGTATATTATTTTGCGACAAGCCATATAAAAGGATATATTACTTAATATATCAACTAATATATCGATCATATCGAGTATATATAGCCCAAAATAACTAAAAAGTGATAAATAATATTTAAGGACTATATTGGTTGCGGCAAGCCCTATAAAAGGATATATCAGGGGGATATATCAGGCCATGTCGGAGATATTTAAAATAATGATTTTGATAGCATCACTTAGCTAATGGCGGCTTCTCAATTTAGATGGTTACTCATATATCTTGGTCTGGAGCAAAAAGGGCTTCAAACCTTCTTGCGTAGGGACGTTGATATTACTAAATGCTAATGGTACTAATTACACCACAAACAGAAAGAACGAAACATCTCAAAACTTTTAGTTTTGCTACATAATCCGTTTTCTGTTCAACTCTATTTAGATCGATCTTGGCATCCCCTAATTCCAATAAGTACTTCCTACATCCTGTTTTAATACCTCGATTCAGCTGAAGTTTTGGTCTGCTACCCTTAATTCCAGGCAGGGACAAGAGCAAGAAGCAAGGTACAACCATAATTAAAGTATGTTGACCAGACTAATATCTGTACGGTATGTTCTATTGTGGCTTGCATGGAATTTACTCAAAAGCTCCTAGAAGGCTAGACTGCATAACCATGACTGGACAAGGCAATTCCACAAGGACCTAGAGTTCATGAATAATATATTCGCCACTTGGAACAAAATAGCTGTAAAATCCTCAACCCCATCACTAGGAAACATAAATGATTCGAAATGTTCAATTTGATCTTTTATAGTACACAGGAAGGTATAATTAGAAGTTCGAAGTTTCAAAGTGCAGTAAGGCTTATCGATAAAATCAGTAGGGTTTTTTTTTTGGTTTTTTATTTTGTTGTTTGTTTTTGTCCTTTTTTTGGGGGTGGGGGAACATCCATTGTGAAAGTAGATTAGTGAGGAAAAGAGAGACGAAAAAGATCATATGACTTTTGATAGTGTGATAGAACTATTTTTCCAGCAAATGTGCAGGTTTTTGGTGCAATTTGATAATTTTGAGCTTCTCCTTGTGAAATCTTTGAATAAGGCTTTGAAACCCCTTTTTAACAAACTATGCAAACCAAATGTCCGAATACTATTAAAATCTAATAGAAGCAATCAGAATCTTATATAAAAATATAACTGTACTGGAGATACAAATTCAATGTGCCAGACCAACAATAAATAAAGGAAAAGGTGGACAGCATTTTGTGCAATTCATTTTCAGCTCTGTAAAAGACATGGTTTTTTCCTCATGCCAAGAAAAGGAGCTTAAAACATATGAAAAGAGATGAATCTTCAATGCAACTACAAGTAATAAAAAAAACAAGACCCGTAATGCAAGCATAAGATAAAAAATAGAACATATTAAACTCAAAGCTAATTAACACACCTTTGCAGAACAGGTCTACAGAGTAGAAAAACTCACCTGCCCAATTGTTTTAATGGTATTCCATGGTGAACGAACGAGAAAATTTAACACACGTGGTCCTTTTGATGTAGTGCCACCTATGAACCATTTCAGGAAGGGTAGTAAAATTCCAGCCATGTCCAAGATAGAGGTGAACGTATTTTCCAAAATTACAGCCGATACCTGTAATTCAAGAGTAACAGCTATGATTTCATTATGATTTCATTAATTCAATATGCCACAGTCATACATGTCCAAAGAATATTGCAAATATATATCAGCACTATAACCAGTAAGCCTGTCTTTTAATCATGCAGACTAATGATATGGCTTCATATCTGTTTATCATGCCCATGAAACAAGCAAATGGTTTGTAAAGTTCCATCGTTAGTATTTATAATCCAGCTTGGCAATAAGGTATAACAGAGAAAGACTGTTTGGCTCTACAATCAGCATGCTTGTGCTCTACTTCTTACAAAATAGTTAGGGTTATGCTTGTGTTTTCAGTTGGATTTGTTTTCTACTGTCTGGGTTATAGATCTGTAGTCATCGCTATAGGCTAATTCCCCTTCAACGATAGGTATTTTGCCCTCCTTTTCCCCGTTCAAGCTGGTTGGAACTTGAATTTTGGGCATTCTTATTCTAGTTTATCAATATGACTCCACAGTCATTAACATGAAAACACATGTCCCAGAATATAGGGTCAGTTGCTGTATGGTTGGACTCAAAGAGATAGGAACGGAGAAACATCAACAGAGGAGAAAATACAAATGAGGAAGAACTAATGGAAAATTCTCCAGCATTTGTTATTGCAACAGGAATTTTCTGCAGTTGTTAAAACCAAAGGACACCAAATTTGTCAGTTGGCACTAACTTCTTCAACATAAAGCTAAATGACTGTAGCCAACAATTTACAGACTGGGCGATTATGAGTTTTACCAGAAAACACAAGGGAGGATAAAAAAAAGCCAGAGAGAAGAAAGCATCCATGAGAATGAATACTGAGAGTGAGCAATGTTTGACACTTCGACTGTAGTTAATTTCCAAAACTATAGACCCTTCATCAAATCAATAATTGTCTCATGTTTCAAGTGATTATATGCCTTGAACACACGTCTTTTCTCTCTCTTCTTTTCTTAACTTCTCATCTATTATGCCTTTGAGAATCTGAAACCTTATTCTTCCATCAGCTAGAATAAGATTGTTTGGAGGACAACATACTAAATTAGTTTTGTCTCCTTATCCTTCTATCTTCCAAGTTCCAACTGAGCCCTGCTTTAAGATCATTAGACTACAACTCTCCCCCTTCAATCCATGTGGAATGTTTATGAATAGTAAAGTTCCAACGAGAAATGGTTTAAAAAGATAGATACATGCAAGAGAGATGAAAATTTGGCTAAGCCAGCCATGCAAAGTGGAAAGCATCAATGTGCTAATAATATGAGTGGAAACAAGACATACAGTGCTTGTCTCCAACAAGGTAAATGCATGAAAGATCTATACAGCATCTGTTATATCAATATTCTTAAGCATATTTTCAAAGGTCATAACAGTAAACTCAAATAAGAAATGCTTAAGAAATAGCACGTGCCTTATCTGGATTATTTTTTGCAAGGACTGATCCGACAGCACCTCCAAGAGATCTTCCAAATATAACGATTTTAGATGTATCGATGTCATTTCTCTGTGCTAGATGATCCAATGCTGCCTAGTCAAGGTGTCATGGGAAAGCCAATAATGTTGAAAAGTCAAAACATACAATAGCCACGTTAAAACTAAAGGAAGAAAAAAAAGCACATCAGCTAACCTGAGCATCTTTTGTAATACCATGCTCAGACGGCCGGCCATCACTTGCCCCATATCTGTCACCAGAAGCAAGGAATCAATACAGTATTAAAGACCAAAATCATACACAGTAAAGCACAATTACTCCAACTTAAAGAGTTTTGGCCGAAAGCATACCCTCTATAAGAAAGCAAGAAGACATTGCAATGCAGCCTCTGCAGCATAATGCGAACGAATTCAAGACGATGGGCAATATCTAGTGCATTATAGTAAAGGCCATACACAGAAGAAGGTAGGCGTAAACAGATGAAAATAAAATCTAGTAAACTCTATCCTCTCTCGTCCTTCCCCATCTATCTCTTAGAGGATTGCAATGAATCAAAAATATCAGGATACTGCCAGCATTTTCTTGGAAGAAAAGTATTGTCGGGCCTGCAGTAACAATGACATTATGTTATAAAGAGGAAAGTTTTGCAGGATAAAAACATCATTCATTTCAAACCTTGATTCTCCATCAAATTCAAACGGAAATACAAAATAATAATAATAATAATAAATATAATAAATAAATAAATCCAGAAATCAAGTCCAAAACCCTAATCTCCGCTGGCACATTAAAACAAGAAAATTTTCCCTATTCAAACCGCAAACGCTCAAGATTTTCCACAACCCAACAAACCAAACCTCACAAAAACACCGTTTATAACCCAAATCACAAAATGAGTACAAATCATCCATACTCTACGTTGCACCTAATGACATTGATTTCAAAACCCTGGTTCTCTATCAACCCCAAAGAAGCAAATTTTCAAGAAAATAAGTCTAAAACCCTAATGCTTGCCACTACGCCCAAAAATAAAGACACACACACACACACACACACACACACACACACACACAGAGAGAGAGAGAGAGAGAGAGAGAGAGAGAGAGAGAGATGCAGACTCCTGAGCTACAACCCTCCAATATTAAAAAAAAAATCAAAATTTTCGAATATAAACTGACAAAACCCCAACCTTAACCCTAAGCTAAGGCATTGATTTCAAAACCTTGGTTCAAGGCAAATATGCAAAATTTCAAGGAAATAAGTCTAAAACCCTAACAAAAACCCAAACCCTAACCTTTGCAATGGGGGGAGAGCTTGATGAACCAAGCGTGAAGGCGAACGCCATCGGCGGAGCGAAGCCACACGTCCTCGTAATCGATGGCGAAGGCGAGCGGGTAGGTGATGGCGATACGACCGAGCGAAGGCCGGGGCAGTACCGGGGAACGTAGCAGCGAGGCTTCTCTTGGAAGCGCCACGAGAAGCCCATGGCGCCGAGCAGCCAATGCGTCATGCAGCGGCGTAGAGGAGAGGACTGGGCTACGAGGCATGGCCGCGGTCTTCGAGGCGGAACGCGGAGTACGGTCCACGCCGGCGAGGGTGAGGTCGGAGAAAAGACGAGGGTTTTGGATTTGGGCAGCTTTAACTGATGAGAGGGGTGGGGCCCAGGAGAAAGTGTTGGTTATAGGGGACAGGTGACAGCTGGAATGGGCCTCGGAGGTGAACGTTGGCTGTCGGGTCCAAGACTAAATTCTATGAATAGCGTTTGGGCTTTAGAAACCCAATGAAGAAAATTTTGAGCTTCCTTGCTACTCTTCAAAATTGCATTTAGACCATCTCCAACCACCATCCAAATCTCCAAAATCTCCAAATTTGGAGAGTGGAACCTCTCCAACCACTCTCCAAATTTGGAGATCTCCAAATTTGACCCTCCAAATTTGGAGGGTGGGGAGAAATTTTGGAGGGTCTCTCCATAACCCTATTCATGATTTTTTTATTTACAATTTTGCCATTTTTAACTATTTGATTTCTTAAAATTTACCACTTTGCCATCCTTCTTAGTAATTTAAATTAGATGTTTAATTTCAAATAAATATAGTTAAAAAATTATTAATCTAATATTTGAAATCATTATATATTTGGAAAGGGCTCGTTGAGATCTTTAAAATGAAACTAAGATTAATTTATTTTAGTATTATTATAAAATTATTAATTTTTAAATTAAATAAATAAGTATCAGACATGAAATTTTAAATACGGGGATCTATTTAACTCGCTCCATAAAAAGTACAAGCATAAATTACAATATTTAAATTACATGTATGCTTTCACTGTTATTTCAGAATTTCTTCTTTTATGATATGTTGTATTGCAGTATTAATATTGGGTTCATTTTAAAGCTCTCATCGACACCTTTATAATGTTATAAATTTTTTTCCCAAATAAATTATTAACAATGAACTTATTAACGTAAACTATATCCAACATTCTTTAATTTATATGGCTTTTTGACAAAAAAATAAAAAGAAAAACATTTGGAGAGTGTGGGTTGGAGCAACCCTCCAAATTTCACCCTCCAAATTGGAATATTCCTAGAATATTCCAATTTGGAGGGCCAAATTTGGAGGGTATGGTTGGAGATGCTCTTATTTTTTTAAAGGGCATTGCTACAGGGACCCTTAAAAAAAGGACCCCTATGGGACAGGTGAGGTGTCAGTTGCTGGGGGCGCGATTTACTGTTCATGAACAGTAAATCACGCCCCCAACAACTGACACCTCATCTGTCCTATAGAGGTCCCCTTTTTTTGGGTCCCCAGGGCATTAATCTTTTTTAAATACGAGGTTTGGCCGTTTTGGAGTGATGTCGAGCTTGGAACCTACGATAAGTCAAGACTGAGTCGACTCAGTCGAGTTATCGTAATCGGTTGCTAACAACGAAAAAACATTGATCTGGCAAAATTTTATCCAATAAGGACCATCATGAAAACATTTCATAGGTTACTTGAATATGGACCCCACGTTAGGGATGTTTGGTTTACTTATTTTATAAAAAAGTTTTGAGAAAACACCTAACAATAGCGTTATAGTAAATAATAAGTTTTTTTTGTAGATTTCTATAAATTGTGTTTGGTTCAACATTGAATTTATAGAATTTTTTTTACAAAGTACAGAAATCTGTACAAATTTACAAAAAATATTTCCCCCTAAAAGTGGGTGGAAAACACCAGGAAATCTGACGCATATATTAAAAAATTAATTAAGTACACCAGTACCGTTCCCATGTGATTCTCAAGGGCATTGTTAGTAAGCTATTTTCTATAAAGTGATATTTAACCAAACAAAAGAAAAAGAAACAACATATTTTCTATAAAGTTAGAAACTTTTTCATACCTTGAACCAAACAAATAAATATAAAAAAACAAGAAATATGGTACTCTTTGAGTTCTATATTTTTCCTACAAATTTTATAGAAATACAAGGAAATCTATATTTTGGGTGTTTTCATTTTCCTATAATTTATAGAAATTGAACCAAACACCCCCTTAGTATCACTCAATTTCGGATAGACCCGTTTTTACTTGTTGTAAATAGATCTTCCAAGTAATTTTTTTATTCTTAAAATCGTTAAAATAGGTCTATTGGCGAGGATAAACTCAATTATTATTATTTTATTTTTAAAAGAGTTGAAAAAGTTAAGTGGGTCTATTCATAATAAATAGAACTACAGGGGGGGGGGGTTTGAGTTATCGTTTAATTTTTTTTCAAGATGGAAATTACTACTTTGTTTTATTTATGGGAGCATGATGTCACACCCCAATTCCAAAACGTAATAATTTGGAACGTTACTCGGCCGACAATGCAATCCTATTGGTCACATTCATGCCTCTAGATCATCCTGTATACAGATATATTGCCAAAAAGAACTACAACATAGAGCATATAACTAAGATAATAAAGAAAATAGATAGATAAAGAAATCTCTGAAAAGATAGAGTTCTACTACAAGTCAATAACTATCCAAAGTAGGAAAGAGAAAAAAATACATCATAGTCTGGAGAACCACATGTGGTTACAGGAAAAATCTCAGTCAAATAACTACCTAAGACAAATGAACCGGAGAACTGATAAGATAAACGGTGATCACTGTCGATGAGCCTGCTCCTCGAAATACTCCCGGTCCTGCGAAGAAAGAATGGTCCTCAAGTCTGGGGCGTGCAAACTCTAAGGGAGTAAGAAAACTCCCAATAAGTATGTAAAATGAAGAAATTGTGTACATGTAAGTGTATGTGGTAGGTATAAAGAAAAGATGAAATCTAAATTAAAGGTGACTAAAAGAAATGCTACTTGTAGATATTAAGAATAAGTCTATCACAAAGCATACAAGCATATTACTCTTATTTTACATGTTATTTGAATTAGAGGAAAATAGTATCATGTATATAAATCAGTTTCCTGTAAACCGTCCCGGAAACACGACTTGAAGCCAAGTATTGGCCCTTGTCACTTATATATAATTCAGAATATCAAGAATGCGCATGAACCCGCTTATATATGCGTTATATTATCCATTCAATTCCCCTTTGTAAAACTCAAATTTATCTATTGATTTTAAGTGGTTGTGCATGAAATATTATTCACTAACCACAGAGTTTCCGTAAAACGACTTCCGTAAAACTATAAAAAATAACTGTGGTCAGAACACATCCAATCAAGATGGATGCTGTAGGCTGTCTAAAAATCACAATAGATAGCTGATCCCCATCAAACACCGATGATGGAAGTTACAATCTGACGACTTCCAGAAGGCTATAATTTGAAGACTTTCACGTAGATCGCTGAAGGTTACAATCTGACGACCTTCACGACAACCGATGAGAGCTCTAGTTTAACAGCATTCACCATCAACATCGAGAGTTACAATCTGACGACTCTTGCATATCAAAGAGCTAAAGTAAAGATTACAAAATGACGATCTTTGCAACGCTTAGACAGAAAGAGACTACAAATCGATGGTCTCTTCAAATCAAGACGTGGAAGTCCTCCCCGCTTACCAGCATCAAGATGCGCCACGTTCATAGCCACGAACGCAGCTCAAATGCAACTCCAAAAATTGCAAACGCAGCTTAAATCACCACTGGACGCAGCTCTATTCGCTGCCCGACGCAGCTCAACATCGCTGCACGACGCAGCTCAACATCGCTGCACAACGCAGCTCTATTCGCCGCCCGACGTTGCTCAACGCAGCTCCAAGCGCTGCCCAACGCAGCTCTATACCGCTGCCAAACGCAGCTTTCATCCGCTGCAAACGTAGCTTCCAGACACTACGTTTGAATGCAGAATTCACGTCAGAACGCGGGCATGCGTTTGACTCGTTCAAACACGAGCTGAACGGTTCCAAAACCGTTTCCCACGATCTGAGGGGATCACAACTCCACTCAGGAGTGATTTAAGGGGCGGTTACATCCCATTAGCCCCACTTAGAAGCGAATTAAGGAGGTGGTTACACCCCTTAATCCCCTATAAATAACTAAGAAATCAACTTAGTTCGGGGCTGGATCTTTCGGGGCGGTCGGTTGGAACTTCTTGGCAGCGAAAAGAGGATCCTTCATCCTTCGGTTGGAGCTTTGGAGATCGGCAACAAGATCTTCTTCATCCTTGGCTTATAACCGACTTTCGGTTAAATCAACTCTTTCATAGAGTTTTAAACTCGTTCAGAGTTCTCCACAACATCAAATCGTGACGAGAAGACCACGTTCCAGTGAAACAAGACATCGGATCGTCAACGAGAAGCAAACTTGACGCGAGCATTCGAGGGAGGCATCTCATCGCCACCGTGAAGAACCCAGAATTAAACAAAGGAGAGAATCCAGATCATTCTTTTCTCTTTTGTAATCAGGAAATCTAATTGTAACTGAGATTAAAGGAATACAAATCAATTTTCCTTCATTTCTTCTTACTGCAAATTTTCCACAAACAGATGCATTGTCTAATTGATGCTATTATATAATAATAATAATAATCAAGCGAAACTCTTCACGCTGGGATATCGATGTCGAGGGTATAGCCATGCTATGATAGCACACTTATAAATCATATTTTAACGGAAGTCGTCTTCATGTACAATCGACCCTATTAAATGTCACTAGGTGATCAAACATGGCATCATGTATTCATCATCAAATGACATCTTTACTTATCAAAAAGGGAAAGATAATAAGTTAAGATAATTTATTTAGTGTTAGAAAAAGTCAATGGGTTTGGTTTAATGGCTTAAAGATCCACAAACCTGATTTTTGTTGAGTAAAAAGTCCAAACGGGTATGTAATTTAAGTTATAGATCCAAACGGCTATGGAATTTGATAATGGATCCTAACTGGCTCAAACGGGTCTGTAATTTGAATTATAAACCCAAACCGAACGGGTCTTAAATTTGATATTGGATCCTAACTAGGTCAAATGTGTCTGTAATTTGAATTATAACCCTAAACGAGTCTGAAATTTGATATTGGATCCTAACTGGATCGAGTTTGAGTTCAAAACACACAAATAG